CGGATGCCGATACCACCATCATCTCCTTGTTCCGCAACATGTGGTTCCTCTGCATTTTGTTCGGGTTCACTGCTACTGACGAGGAGGACTCTGCGATGGAGTGGCAGCGGCCGGCGCTCTGCCGTATTGCGGCGAAGACCCCGGCGACAGTCTTGGAGGAGTCGCACGATTCCGTTGCCAGCAATGTCGAGTACAACTCGGTTATACGGCAAGATTATGCACATACGGTGTGTCCCTTTTTCTGTTACTTGGTAAGGTTCCTGAACGGCCGCTAGATCATATCAAAACACAAGTCGAATCTGATCACGCATATTGCTCTTCGTGCTAGCGACATTCGGTCGCTATCTACAGGGCAAATCGTCTTTTTGTTGACTATGCACGATATGGAGTCTATGCGTTCCGCGGCGGGACTGCCGTCGTCCTTGGTGTCCTACTTCATCAACGACAGCCTCAATAAACACCCTGGGCTCAGTGCCTGTATGGAATCCATCGCAGAAAAGGTGATTCAACCAAACTGGCAAAGGCGTTCTGTTCTGAAAATATTACAGGTGATTCGCGGATGTATCGGCAGTTTGAACGCACAAGCGGCCCAGCAGGCTCTTCCCGAATCTCTCTCTGCAGAACTCCGGACGCTTTTAATCTGCAGCACACACCGGATAGCCAAGGCTCGCGACATCGCCTCCAAATTCCTCAACCGCCTCATCACGTCTTTCCCGTCCTTAATGTGCGACCCGCCGCTCGTGTTTGCCATTCTGGAGGTCCTCACACTCCTCCGGCGCGCCTGTGAGAACGAGTTCATCGACGAGTACAACCCGACATACGAGTTCCATTCCGACCGCACTGGAATCACGCTCCAGCTGACGGACAGCTATACCGTCCGGAACGAGATTCTGGCGCAATTGCATCGTAATGCGAATACGTGGTTTGAACTGGCGTTGGGTCGTGCGCCGGTCGAACTGCAGTCGACGTTGCAAAAGTATCTCTCGGGCAACTCATCTACTGGAGCGGAATGGACTGAGCTTGGCGCGTCTGTTGCGGAACAGTTTGGAAAATCTATTGGGCCTGTTCAACGCCAACTTGGTACGTGGTACCCTTCACAGCGTACACGCGGCATTTTTATATGGTCTGCAGTGTCTTTATCGACTTTATCCAAGATGAAGACGGACGGAGCCAAGTCCCTGGCAAGCCAAATTGCCAGCAAGGGATATTTCGCCGGAGAAGCAGCTGGGATCCGTTTGGCGAGTCGTCAAGGTGCGTTACCCTAACCCGAGTCATTTTTGTTTGAGTGAAGATGGGAATCTAGGTCCTGATCAGCTCGAGAAGCTTCCGCCTCAAGCTGCTCCGACGTCGGAGATTCAAGCTCTCAAAGCCAAGATGGCACGGACCTTCGAGGAAATCAGGAGCAAAGTCAGCAGTGCGACTGTTCAGGATCTCAAGCGGCTGTTGTTCAGATGCGCTGCGACGCTCATTTCGTTGGCCAAGGTATTATTTGCTTTTGAGGATTTTGCCCGTTTACTCATGGTTTCCTCAGTGTGACTTTGAGCTTCTCCATTATCTTGTTGCTCTTCCCTTCGAGGTATCCACACCGTCAGCGGTGGCCGCAGGTATCGAGATATGGACGTGGACCATCGCCGAAAAGCCCGACATTGAGGTTGGCTTGATGGGTGAGGTCCTTGCTGCGTGGTCGGACACTATCCGTCAAGAGAAAGGCATCTTCTCTACGTCTCTCAAGTACGATTATTATTTGGACCTCAATTTTGTCCTGGCTCTGACTACACTTCAGCTACGACGATCCGTTTTACCATCCGATTGACTACAGCCCGACTGACAAGGAGACAATCGATCGCGAGATGCTCAATGCGCGGCGTCTGTTGACTCCCCATGCGCTCGTCCTGCAGATGCTTTTTAGTCGACTCCAGGCGGCGAGATATCGGCGGCCGGGCGTCATGTTCCTCATCCAGCACCTTGTTCTTCGTTCTGCTCGAGCACACAAGCGTATGAGGTCAGTCAGTTGTGTCTCGATTTTTATCAACTAAGGCCGTTTCAGCACTCATGCGCTGGCCCGCGAGCCACGGTTCTCGTTCCTGCTCTTTGGCTTCGAGACGCTAAAGAGCTCGCACCTCGACTCGTATTGCGAGAATATTCTCAGAGAAAACTTGTACACGGTCGCATACTCTTGGTTTAGCGTTCGGCCTCAGTAAGTGAAAGCGGAAGGGATGACGTCGGACTAACACCGTGTAGATGGTCGTTTGGTGCAAACCGGGTACAAGTCGATGCCGATATCAAGGTTGTCTCGGAGTTTCTTTCGTACTTGCAGAGGGATTCCGTTCGGGGGTCCGCTGTAATTTCGAGCCTCTCACCCGTCCAATCCGAGTCGCGGACCTCACGTGAGCCTCGCCCTCGCGCGTTCTGTTTCCAAACTGACTTTTGGTCGTAGAATTCACGTCCAAGCTGCGCAATATCAACCATCCGCTGAAGCTCCTAGTGGAGAACGAGCTAAATCGCCTCTCTGTCTGGGCGAATCCCATCAATGATCCGAAGCGTGGGACTGATCATATTGAGCGGGGCCTCCTCGAAGCTTCGTGGGCTTCGATGGTTCGAATGGTCTGGCAAATTGATCCCGCGATCGCTGTCCATCTTCCGGAACGTTACAAGAGCGCCATCCTTGTGCGCAATGAAGTTACCAAACTTATCCGTTCTGCGACTCGAGATGTTCTCGACATACCGGAAGCGTTGCCTTTCCTACTCGGTGATCGAATCGAAACAGATGTCCGTCGGGACTTGAAGGCATGTCGTAGAGTTTCCATCTCTCGCTTCTCTTTTCACACCTCATCTAGCACCTGCTTCTGTGGGCGCCAGTGCCTCCCATTATCGCCAACACCTTTTTCGAGCGACGCTTCAAGAACGATCCGTTGGTGCTACAATATGCTCACCGAGTACTTGAGCAGCATCCGGTTGACCTGACGTTCTTCTTCGTCCCTCAAGTTGTACAAGCCCTCCGATATGACGATCTTGGTCTGTCTTTTTTTCCCTGTTGAATTACCGCCATTGACCTGATATAGGATACGTGTCTCGCTTCATTTTCGAGACGGCCAAGATTTCTCAGTTATTCTGCCACCAAATCATTTGGAACATGAAGGCAAACTGCTACAAAGATGACGCAGCCGAGATTGTACATGTCCTATCTAATCTAGCTCCGCCCCGCTGATGGGACATACAGGAGGATCCCATGAAGCCCGCTCTGGATCGAATGACGGACGAGGTCGTTGCTTCCTTGTCCGGAGACGCCCGCGCCTTTTACGACCGAGAATTCGGCTTCTTCAACGAAGTCACCTCGATTTCCGGAAAGCTCAAGCCGTACATCAAGAAGACGAAACCGGAGAAAAAGGTATCACTTTTCTTCTTTTCGCCCTGTCGTATATTGCACTGACACTACGACAGGCGAAAATCGACGAGGAAATGGCCAAGATCACGGTGGACGTTGGGGTTTATCTGCCGAGCAACCCCGATGGTATCGTTGTGGATATTGACAAGAAGTCAGGTCGACCTTTGCAAAGCCACGCCAAGGCACCGTTCATGGCCACGTTCAAGGTCCGCAAGGACATGATCGTTGTAAACGAGAACCCGGAATCTCTACTCGACGGAAACGACACCGTCAAGACGCGCGTCGAGTACGACGTTTGGCAGCAGGCAATCTTCAAGGTCGGCGATGATTGTCGGCAGGACGTTCTGGCCTTGCAAGTCATCGCCATGTTCAAGAACATCTTCGAGAGTGTCGGCTTGACACTGTACCTGTACCCATACCGTGTTACTGCTACGGCTCCCGGTGTTCGTCGTTCATATCCTTCCTTTCTTCCTCGTCTAACTTCTGCAGTGCGGTGTCATTGACGTGGTTCCCAATGCGACTTCGCGTGACGAAATGGGACGGGCAAAGGTCAACGATCTTCTCGACTTTTTCATCGCGAAGTATGGCGGGCAGGACACGGTCGAATTCCAGAGGGCGCGATTGAATTTCATTCAATCCATGGCGGCCTACTCTGTTGCTTGTTACATCCTTCAAATCAAAGACCGGCACAACGGGAATATTATGATTGACGGAGAAGGACACATTGTTCACATTGGTGCGTCCCCCATCCTTCTACTTGTTCTCCTCTCATCGTCGCAGATTTCGGCTTTCTTTTTGACATTGATGAGTCCATTCTACGCCTGCTTGTTTACTTTTTGACTTATTCTTCTTTGATGATTACGCCCCGGAGTAAGTTATATTTTCCTTCATGGACGGTGTTAACACGAAGCACAGGGTGTCAAATTCGAGCCCCACTCGTTCAAACTAAACCATGAGATGGTTTTGCTGATGGGAGGCCGATACTCCCAGGGCTACCAACTCTTCCAGAACCTTACGGTCAAAGCCTTCCTCGCCATTCGCCCGCACGCAGAGCAACTCGTCGATACAGTTCAATTGATGCTGGATACAGGCCTGCCTTCGTTCAAAGGTGAACCGACGATCAAGAGGCTGCGAGATCGATTTGCGGTTGGGTTGAATGAACGGCAGGCGGCAGAGTGGATGATGAGCGTGATCAAGAATGCGCATGAGAATGTGCGGAGCACGGCATACGATGAGTTCCAGCGGCTTCAGAATGGAATTCCTTACAAGTAGCTTATTATAATTGGTGATAATGACCTTCGCGCTCAGCTTGTTTCCAAAATTGAGAAAGATTTGGTGGGGTAGTGGTAAGTTCGCTTGTTCAGTACTGGACTAAAGTCGTACTAGAGGTCTCTTGACTTTCCAAATTCTTTGTCCTAAAATTGGGACTAATTTTTACTTGCACATTTGACTTTCCGGTTGAATGGACCATGGTTTAATGGTAGTGCATGCATCCTCTGATGTTTCTGACTACGTTCACTACACGAATGCTCTTGATTCAGCTATGTTTAATCAAAGAGCGAATTGCGCAGCGTTCACTTGCTAGCTCTCTTATATACTCACTGAGCCATAGCAAGCTTTGGTGGGGTAGTGGTAACCTGGGTCGTTGCCACGCGCTTTAACAGCGGTCGAAAATTCGACCCGCCGGGGGGTTCGATTCCCTCCCAAAGCATAATCTTTTGCAGGGTGCTCGTTAATGAGCTCAAAGTCACTTTTTTCTTGCTTTCTCCCTTCGCGCAATAAGGTGTTTCGATGAACGCCCCGGTTACCACTACCCCACCAAAGTTGATGTGACGGTTCAGACTCGTCACATCTCCTCGGCGAGAAGAGTCACACTTTTCCTTGCGCTACCGAGGCCTCAATTCTTATCCGTTTGCCCTGAAACTCAACCAGTTCGACGCCGTTTTAAGAGAAGTATCTAAATTGCATGCTGAATACGCGCTTCAAAATATAAATAATTCTGAATTCGTGAATTGAGCCATCATTGTGTGTACCATTCGAAAGCGCTCTTAAAATCGCGTCGAACACATCATTGTATCAGGAAAAATGAGGCAGAATCGAGGCCAGGACGGGGCAAGGAACATCCTGAACCTCTCGCGTATCGGAGTAATCGGATGACCCAAAGCATTAACATCCTCGTCCCAGTGCTTGGCTTTCCTGGGTCGAGCTATACTGCCGCCTTGCAACGTTTTACTCGAATGGTGGCCATAAATTAGAGAGCTTGCACCAAAATCATCGCGCCGACGGCCTAGTCGATACACACCAACGGCAGCCTAGGCTGCCTAGCGCGCAGCCTGTGCGCCAACAGTGCTCGAAAATGAATAATTTTATTCAGAGCAGGAAGTGCATGCAACGAAAGGCAAAAAAGCGCCGCTGGTCTAACGTACTAAGAAGAAAAAGTCTTGCGACGGGCAATTTTTTATTTGTTTTGCCTCCCATAAACATCGCCCGCATGTTCCCTTTGGTTTATGCCGCCATGTCCTTCGCGATTTGATCAGCCTTGGCCTTGACGTCCTCGATCGTGCCGACCTGGATGGAAGAGGTGATTAGAAAGAATTAATACGATACGGAGGAAGGAACATACCATGTAGAAAGCAGACTCGGGCAGGTTGTCGTGCAGACCAGACAGAATCTCCTTGAACGAGCGGATGGTCTCCTTGAGCGGCACGAGCTTGCCCTCGTACCCAGTGAACACCTGCGCGACCTGGAAAGGCTGCGACATGAAACGCTGGATCTTGCGAGCACGCTCGACGGTGAGCTTGTCCTCCTCAGACAACTCGTCCATACCCAGGATAGCAATGATATCCTGGAGCGACTTGTAGTCCTGAAGAATCTTCTGGACGGCGGTGGCGGTGTCGTAGTGGTCCTGGCCGACCTTCGGACAGTTAAAAAAGAGCGTCAGGAAATAGATGAAGCAAATCTTACGATACGGGGGTCAAGCATGCGCGACTTGGAGTCGAGAGGGTCCACAGCAGGGTAGATACCAAGCTCAGCAATACCACGAGACAACACAGTGGTCGAGTCCAAGTGAGCGAAGGTGGTGGCCGGAGCAGGGTCAGTCAAATCATCGGCAGGGACGTAGACGGCCTGGACGGAAGTGATGGAGCCCTTCTTCGTCGTGGTGATACGCTCTTGCCTGAGGAATATGACAAAAGTAGGGATGAATAAAAGAAACGACGCACATGCCACCCATGTCAGTGGAGAGAGTGGGTTGGTAACCGACGGCAGAGGGGATACGACCGAGGAGAGCAGACACCTCGGAACCGGCCTGGGTGAAGCGGAAAATGTTGTCGATGAAAAGCAACACATCCTGGCCTTCCTCGTCACGGAAGTACTCGGCGATGGTGAGACCAGTGAGGGCGACACGGGCACGAGCACCCGGGGGCTCGTTCATCTGACCAAAGACAAGGGCGACCTTGGAGTCGCCTTCGAGGTTGATGACACCAGTCTCAATCATTTCGTGGTAGAGATCGTTGCCCTCGCGAGTACGTTCTCCGACGCCTACATAGAGTGAGCGGAGGAACGCGAATTAAAAGAAAAAAACGCGGACCGCAGAAGATGGAGACACCACCGTGAGCCTTGGCGACGTTGTAGATGAGTTCTTGAATCAACACGGTCTTTCCGACACCAGCACCTCCGAAGAGACCAATCTTGCCGCCACGAGCGTAGGGGGCAAGAAGGTCGACGACCTTGATACCGGTTTCGAGAACCTCGGCGGTTGTTGCCTGCTCGACGAAAGGCGGGGGGTCGGCGTGGATGGGGTTCATCTTGACACCCTTGATGGGGCCACGCTCGTCGATAGGCTCGCCAATGACGTTCATGATACGGCCAAGGGTCCCGGTGCCGACGGGGATACGAATGGGGGCACCAGTGTCGACGACCTTGGTACCACGTACGAGACCTTCCGTACCATCCATGGCAATGGTGCGGACAGTGTTCTCACCGAGATGGGACGCAACCTCGAGGACAAGACGACCACCAGTGAAGTCCTGCACCTCGAGAGCGTTCAAGATGGGAGGCAGGTCATCCGTCTCGAACTGGACATCCACGACGGCACCAATGACCGTCTTGACACTGCCGACGACCGCCTTGGACTCGGTTGCATATGAGCGAGCTGGTGGGGAGTGAGAAGTAAGCCGTGAAACGAAGGAAAAGAACGGACAGGAAGGGGCGACAGTCGTGTCGGGACGAGAGCCCGCGCGCTGCTGGGGCTTGGACGCGGAAGGAAGGGATGCTCTAGGAAGGACCGCAGCCGTCGAGAAAAACGCGTTTGTGGGTTTTTTAACCGCTCTCCTCGAGAGACGGACAACGCCGCGGGAGGTGAGCATCGTGCAAGGTGGTGGAGAGGAACTTTCGCTGGCTTGTCACACATCACAAATTGTGACCCTACATCAGCCGAACCATCTTCAACTCCAAGCAATGGTAAATACAAGAATCGTAGACTCCATTGGGTATGATGCACATTGCGAGCTTATTCCTACACTAACTAGCGTGCAATCGAGCTCCGGGTATCACGTTTCCAAACCGCGTCCCTTAACCGACGGTGAAAAGCTAGACGGACTTGAGACTCGTAGGCGAAACATGAAAGAAACACGTACCTGAGATGCGCTGGGGCTAGCCGTGTTGCAGGACTGTTGGTCGAGACTTCCGTTGTTGTTGAACAAGCAGGTGCCGGCTTGGTTAATCGGCTCGAGCGGGATTCCAGACAGTTTTCCACTGAATGTGAAAAGCTGGCTGTTTGTAACCGCTCCACCGCCGTCAGCACGCCCGCCACAGCTATGTGACAGGTTAGCACAAGGAAATTTCGAGACCAGGAACCCTACCTGAAGAGCAAGACTTGGTTTCCAGCGGCGCGGCGAGGGTCAAAGTTGAGGCATCCCTGAGTGAGAGTGCTGACGATAAGGGCAGTACCGGGCTGGTCATTGTGCTTTCCAGCTGTTATCACGTCGAACTTTTGCCCAGCGGACCCGTCACATGCAACGGCCTTGACGGGGATCAAGTTTTCTCTGAAGTCACCCGAGTTTGCAGTGACTTCGAGGCACTTGCCGTCCGACGTCTTAATGGCGGCATCGGAAGCTGCGCGCGTAGCGGTGTTGTCGCGCTGCTGAGCCTCGGCGACAGCAGCTTGATCGAGAGTGGTGCCAGGAGCGGTAGTTGCGGCAGCAGCAGCAGTCGAGGTCGTTGTGGTCGCAGCAGGCGGCGGCGGCGGGGGAGCCGTGGCCCCACTGCCAGAACCAATGGTGAAGAGCTAATCAACAAGGTTAGAACGAGCTACGACACGAAATATACACGAACCTGAGATGCGCTGGGGCTAGCCGTGTTGCATGACTGCTGGTCGAGATTCCCGTTGTTGTTGAACAAGCAGGTGCCGGCTTGGTTAATCGGCTCGAGCGGGATTCCAGCCAGTTTTCCACTGAATGTGAAAAGCTGGCTGTTTGTAACAGCTCCACCGCCGTCAGCACGCCCGCCGCAGCTATAGGGCAAGTTAGCATCCGTGTAAAATGCTCCAACAAACGCACCTGAAGAGAAGGACTTGGTTTCCAGCGGCGCGGCGAGGGTCAAAGTTGAGGCATCCTTGAGTGAGAGTGCTGACGATAAGGGCAGTACCTGGCTGGTCGTTGTGTTTTCCGGCTGTTATCACGTCAAACTTTTGCCCAGCGGACCCGTCACAGGCAACGGCCTTGACGGGGATCAAGTTTTCCCTGAAATCGCCAGAGTTCGCAGTGACTTCGAGGCACTTGCCGTCCGACGTCTTGATGGCGGCGTCGGAAGCTGCGCGCGTTGCGGTGTTGTCGCGCTGTTGAGCCTCGGCGACAGCAGCTTGATCGAGAGTGGTACCAGGAGCGGTTGTTGCGGCCGCAGCAGCAGTCGATGTCGTCGTGGTCGCAGCAGGAGGTGGCGGCGGGGGAGCCGCGGCCCCACTGCCAGAACCAATGGTGAAGAGCTGAAGCAGGTCAAAACCAACTCCAATCTACATGAACTACGACGAACCTCGTTGCCTGAGGCCGTTGCGGGGTTGCAGCCCGTTTGGTCGAGAAGACCGTTGTTGACGGTGATACAAGTCGCAGCATTGCTGTTCAAAGGCACGAGAGGGAATGGCCCCGAGCCCCCGCTGAACGCGAATTGCTGCGAGTTGGTTACGGCTCCTCCCCCGTCTGCCCTGCCTGTGAACGAAATGAGAAACTGAAAAGAAAGAAAGACACCGTGACGCTTACCTCCGCATGAGAACAGGAGAACCTGGTAAATACGCAATCAATAAGATAATCTCCGCAGAGCTTGTGGCCTCCGTACCTGGTTTCCAGCGGCACGACGGGGGTCGAAATTCAAACAGGCGTTAGTCTACTGAGCTTTAGGGCCTGTCCCAGCGAAGAGAAGGGCGTACGAACCAGCGAGCTGACGATGAGAGCTTGACCAGCCACGTTGTTGTGCGCACCGGCGGTGATCACCTGTTCAGCTCAGTGCACGAAGAAGCAGTTTCGCAAATGTACTCACATCCCAAGTCTGGTTTGCACTACCATTGCACTGGACAGTCGAGACGGGACTGCCTAATATCAGCAGCTGCACAGAAGATCGGAGAAGAGGAAAGCCCACGTGAGATTCTCGCGGAAATCGCCCGAGTTGGGATCGACGGAGAGACAAAGACCGCTGGCAGTCTATTTTCATGTCAAGAAC